ACCATAATTACAGACAATTACGAGCCATATGATGTGGGTATGAGGAACTGAACACTGAACCCAGAATCTCTGTAAGAGCAACAAGTGCTCTTAGCCACAGAGCCATCTCTACAGCTCCTATGTAGTCAGTTTGTAAAAATGTGTACAGTGTATGTGCTGGCTAGTCAGTCTTGTGTCAACCTGACAAGACTAGCGTGATCTGAAAAGAGGGAGCCTGACCAAGAAAACGCCTCTTTGAGATGAGATGTCTGTAAAGCATTTTCTTTATTGGTGATCGATAGGGGGAGGGCCCAGCTCATTGTGGGTGCTGACATTCTTGGGTAGGTAGTCCTGGTTTCGTAAGAGAACAGACTGGGCCAGCCGTAGGGAGCAAGCCAGGAAGCAGCTCCCCTCCTGTATCAGCTCCTGCCTCCAGGTTCCTGCCCTGTTTGAGTTCCTGTCCTGACTTCCTTCAGTGATGAACAGCAATGTTGGAAGTGTAAGCCAAATAAACCCTTTCCTCCCCAGCTTGCGTTTTGCTCCTTGTGTTTTGTGGCAGCAAAGGAAGCCATAACTAAGATGGTGTATATGATTGTGGCAATGTGTAACTGGTGTGTATCTGTGTGTCTTGGTATGTAGAGGCTAGAGGCAAAAGTCGGGTCAATATTAACCTTTAATTTTTGAGACAGGGTCTCTCACTGGACCTGGATAGCTTAGTTTCTTTACTATTGCCATTGTAACAGGCTCCAGATCTTAGCACAACTGATGTCATGGTGAAAGTACCCAGCATGTGGATAAAGACCCAACAGGTAGGCAACAACACCTTCCAAAACAAAAGCAAAGACCTAGTCCATCATAGTCCATAGCTCACGGAAAGTCCCTAAATGTACTAGCCTTGCTTCTTGGCTTCTGTAGTTCTGCTTCTGGCTAACGGTTCTTGCTAACTGAGGTGTGCCAACCCAGGATATGGGTTCTGTGCTTTAAAAAAATCACCTTGGAAAAGTCTGAGGACTGTACTTGAGCCCCGAACACGCAGCATAATCACCAACTGGCTAATGAAGAGTTTCCATTGGAAGTATGGAGGCCCAAAGAGGCCAAAGGTCAGAGAGTTTGGGACTTGTGTTTAGTTCATTCAAGATTATTGTGCTTCTAACTCAAACAAAGGTCCCACCTAGTTATAAATCAGAGTTCTGTTCTCTCAAGGCTATTGTCAACAGGTGTGGCTACTTGCTAGACCTTGTGCTCCTGGCATAGGAAAGTAGTTGGTTCTTACCTAAAAGTCTAAGGATCCAACTAAGTTCCAGTTCCCTTTATGGAAATAACTTGGGATTCCACCCAGGGAGTGAGATTCCACCTGCAGAGTGTTTGTTCTAGTCGTGAGCGTGTACAACTTTCAATTTGTATGTTAATGCAGTCCTTTTGTTCTACTCCTACCTCTTGAAATCAGGGGTAAACTGTTGGAAAATAAAACATGGGCAAATTTTCAGTACTCACTGAAATTCCCTCCCAGTACTATTTTATATGATTCTGCGTTTTATTATTTTTGTTCGCGTCTTCGTAGTCTTTACTATATTTCTAAGTTCCCACACCTCCTTTCTGGAAGAAAGGTATTTTTGTCGAGGCTGGCCCCTGACAGGCTTGAACCAATGTCCAAGTGGCCTTCTCTAGTGAATACATCACCACACCATGGGAGGATACCATGATCATGGAATTTCTAGAAGAAAGCATTTAACTTGGGGCTCACAGTTCTAGCGCTTCATGACCATCATGTTGGGGAGCGTGGCAGCAGGCAGCCAGGCGTGGCGCTGGTGCAGTAGCTGAGAGTGTGTGTCTGATTCACAAGCATGAGGCAGAGAGAGAGAGAGAGCTAACTGGAAGTGGCATGAGCTGTTTTTCCTGCTCTCCGTGTGTGTCATGGCACCCATGTGCACATGCATAAAAATAAATAAACGTAATAAAATAAAATCAAAATGACCCACAATAGTCTGGACAGAAGCTTCATCATCCAGGCCCTGCAGTTAAGAGGACACAGAGAGGTTGACTTGCAATGCACATCAGCATCATGGGAAATAAGCCACCAAGACTTTAGGGTGAGTGGTTACGGTACTTTTTTTTTTTCTGACAGAGGCAAACACCAAATTAGTCCCAGGAAGTCCAGCTGGACCTTCCCACTCCTCTGCTGAGGTCAGGCCTGGTTCTTACCTGTACTTCTGTGTGGTTCCTGTACTGGCTGGTTTTGCGTGTCAACTTGATACAAGTTAGAATCATCAAAGAGGAAGGAGCCTTGGATAAGGAAATGCATCCATGAGATTCAGTTGTAAAGCATTTTTAAAATTAGTAATCAAGGGGGGGAAGGTCCGGGCCATGATGGGTCGTACCATCCCTGGGCTGCTGATTCTGGGTTCTATAAGAAAGCAGGCTGAGCAAGTCATGTGAAGCAAGCCAGTAAGCAGCATCCTCCCATGGCTTCTACACTAGCTCCTGCCTCCAGGATCCTCCCCTGTTTGAGTGCCTGTCCTGATTTCCTTCAAGAATGAACAGCAATATAGAAGTATAAGCCAAGAAAACCCCTTTCTCCCCAGCTTGCTTTTTGGCCATGGTGTTTTGTCACAGCTATAGAAACTGTACCTGAGACAATTCTCTGTCTCTTATTCTTCCACTAACCCTTAGACTGAAATTGAATAAGCTTTGTAAACTCTAGGCAGAATCATCACTTCCCAGATAATCATAAAGTGTCAATGGCCCCCGTGGTACCTGTTCATTGAAGAACACAAAGCCATTAACATGGGGCCATGGTGCAAAGCAGGAAACATGAGTGGGGGAGCAGCCATATTGTGTGATATCATTTTGCACGTCAACCCAAAAGGTTGTGTCCATGCTTATGGTGAGCATGTATTTGCTCTTAGATGATTATATTTATCACCTCTAGGAACCGAAGCCTGCCGGTTTGACTATGATCACGAGCAAAACTGTAGAGTGAAGAGACCTCAATGAAGTACAGGCTTCATTGAATGAATTCCTCAATGAGGACCTCCTAGGCCTGCTTACCTTCATCACCCTGTCTCCCAGAATGCCTCTCTCCCTCTGTAAATTGCAATCCCAGCCTAAACTAGGAGTTTTTGCTCAGGCTGTTGCTTCCTGCTCTTCAGATGCCTTCACCGTTTCTCCTTTGAGGGACTGTACTCAGTATTCAAAGCCCAGCAATGTCACTTGCCCTAAAATGCTTCCTGATGCCCCCATGGAGGTGTGGCTCCCTCTTCTGGCTCTTGCGATATGCCATAACGTCATTCCTGGTTTTAATTTCTGTCCACACCTCTCCTCAATCCATGTCTTGCCTTTATTAGTGCCTTACGCAGGATGTGCACTCGCCACGTCAGACACTGCCACAGTCGACGGGCAAGGGCTTGGGCCAGTGGAACACCTAGAGTTTCTTCTGCCACCTCATTACCGCGAATCCATAAACCACTGTCCCCCACAGTACGTACTGGGAGCCTGGCAAGCTACACAAAGTTCATTCTGCTTGACATCAAGGACTCAAGGGAGAATATCATTTTTTTCAATTCTTTAAAAATGATTCACTATGACTTGTTTTATTAATACCTACAGGGACTTCTATTATCTGAACAAGAAATTCACTATTCTTTTTTGTAAAGATTGTTATTGTATGTGTTGTGTGTGTGTGTCAGTGAGTGTACTCCACTCATGTATAGGGGCTCACAGAAGCCAGAAGAGGCCACCTGAGCCTCTAGAACTGGAGCAATAGGCAGTTGTCAGCTGCCTGATCTGGGTGTTGGGAATCAAGCTCAAGTCCTCAGAGAGAGCAGCCTGTGTTTTTCACCACTAAGCCATCTCTCCATTTCCATCATTCTTTAAATAAATAAACAAAAGACAAAAAAAAAACAGAAACAAAACTCAGCTTTCTAGATAAATCTTTTCAAGCAAATGAACACAAATGAGTTTTGGTTTTGACCTTGAATGCCTATCAGAGGTGCTGCCTGGGCCCTGATGTTTCTCCTTTCTCCAGCATCTCTACCCACCGTCTCTGATGCTCTTCCCTGTAGCCCCTGTGATAGGGAGGATTTTGTGACCTTGCATGGGTGCTGGTGGGTCCTACACAATGGATGGATATGGGAGCCTAAGCCATGAACTTACTGTGAACTATGGGTGGGACACAGTGCAAAATATTCTTCTCATGAGATGGCCTTCTAGAAAGAACTACACAAATCGTAATAAGTGAATTCATTTGAAAGCAAAGGACGTGAAGGATTATCACACTGGGAAAGGCAAAGGCCTGGGAGGAATATTCTTGGCTCTTCACAAGACCAAAGATGACAATGACACCAGGTGTATTTTCTTGCTGTAGTATTTGCTTAATTTTAACTGTCACCTCATGTTTTGCTTGCTTTGATAATAAAACTGAGAAGTGCTTTGTTTGCACTACTCTTGAGTTCAAACGCCGGGAGTACTGACTCCCCAGGCAGGTCTTCGGAATATCATACCATCCGGAGAGATGTGGCCTTGCTGGACAAAGGGCAGGTGGACAAACAGGGATCATCCGGCTATGAGGATAAGCAAGAAGGCCTCCGTGGACGTCTTTAGATTTACTTTATTGTATTCCTTTTACACTATCATCTCTCAGTTTGCCATCTATCCAGCTACCAATCATCTACTGGTTTGTTTGCTTGAGACAGGGCCTCACTATGCAGCCCTGGCTGCCCTGAAACTGGCCAGGCTGGCCTTGAAGTCATGAGATCTGTTTGCCTCTACCTCCAGAGTGCTGGGATTAAAGGCCTATGCCATGACTGGTTTAATCTATTTATCTGTCATCTACCCATCTTCCTATCTATCATCTAATAGTCATCCTTTTTGGATTATGAACATGTAGAAACAACTGTCACACTCAATAAAGGCGGACGGAAGCCGACTGGGCACTGGGAATATGGACAGATTAGCACACTGGTAAGAGCATGACGCATTCAGTCGGCGTCGGAATCAGAAAAATGAGGGATCGTGACGTAACCGCGAAGCGCCGGAAGCGGCTGAGCGGGCCATGGAGGACGGACCCGCGGGCGGAACCCTTCTGCGAGAGGCTTCGACTGAGGAGGCTGAGCCGCTGGGTGCTGCGTGGAGTGGGGACAGCGGCCACGTATCGCAGAGCCACAGCAGCGCGTCCGGGCCGTGGGAAGATGACGGCCCGGAGGACGCGCCGGGTCGCGATCTGCCGCTGCTGCGCCGCGCCGCCGTGGGCTACGCCTCCAGCCTGCTGCCCGCCACGGGGCCGCGGCCCGAGGTGGAGGCTCTGGACGCCAGCCTGGAGGACCTGCTGGCCAGGGTGGACGAGTTCGTGGGCATGCTGGACATGATTCGCGGAGACTCGTCCCACGTGGTGAGCGAGGGCGTGCCGCGGATTCACGCCAAAGCCGCGGAGATGAGGCGCATCTACGGCCGGATCGACAAGCTCGAGGCCTTCGTGAGGATGATCGGCAGCAGCGTGGCCAGGATGGAGGAGCAGGTCACCAAGGCCGAGGCCGAGCTGGGGACCTTCCCTCGGGCCTTCCGGAGGTTGCTGCACACCATCAGCGTTCCCGCTCTCTTCAAGTCGGCGCCCACCGGGCCCCAGCGCGCCGCCTACGAGCCGCCGGTCCTGTTTCGGACCGAGGACCACTTTCCCGGCTGCGAGGACAGACCGCAGCTCTGAGCCTGCACCTCTACCGCGGAACTCCAATGAGACGCTTGTTCCGAGTGTTAAGAGATCCTGCTAACTGGTGTATATGTTGTCAGGATGTGAACTGTTGAAAGTTTATTTTCAGCAAACGACTTGATACCGTCACTATTCAATGTCGAGAGTATAGATCCCCGTGTCTTCCAGTTATGACCCAAAAGTTGTTTGGTGGGGGGCTGGGAAAGCCAACTGAATTAATTTACCTGTGCAATATGGCAGAGCTGTTATTTTTATGGCCTTTATTAGAGTTAACCAGTGTTACCTTGTTAAGATTTATATATTTATATGATCAAAAGTGACCAAAAAATTAAAGCTGTATTCTTAAATCCTAACAGCGAGTGGTTCAGTTTTCTGTAGCCTTCTAGGATAGATGGCCGGTTATTTAGTATCATATTCAGCTTTGCAGATTGTAAAACAGTTTCTCAAGACAACAATAACTGGGCGTTTTGTTGCAGCAAGTTCTGAAGTTGTATTTGATATTATGATTCAAAGGCTTAGTTTATTATAGCAAGCATATTAATGTATGGTTATCAGTGTTGATTTATAGCACATTAACTCAAATGTTAGATTTCATTGAAAGAGATTTCCTTCTGGAAATTATTTAGTGTATTTTCTGTTTTGTTTGTAAATAAGCCTGTCATTTATGTTTTAAGTAGTGGAGTAAGAATAGGCAACTTCTTTATTCAAAAACTTATGTAGAAAACCAACCTTGCTGCTGTTTTCACAGTTCTCCTTCCCCTTTGGTCCCAAGGGTCTTGTTCTTTCACTTTGGGGATACAGAATGTTTAAAGTTCTCTTACCAACAAACTGCTGTTCCCTAAGTTGGTTCTCCCAGGTAGTAGCCCCAAGTAGGCACTCAGCTAAGGAGTGTATTGCTGTTGGTGAAGGTAAGTAAAATCAACATTGGAGCCAGGTGTGATGGCATACATTTAAAATCCAAGCACTCAGGAGTCAGGCAAGAAGATCACAGGTACCAGGAGAGCCTGGGCTATAGAGTAAGTTCCAAGTCTGCTTGGATAGCTAAGAAGACCATATATCAGAAAATAAAAGACTTAGCCAGGCAGAGTGAAGCATGCCTTTAATCCCAACACTCAGGATGCAGAGGCTCTATTAGTCTGAGGCTAGCCTGGTCCACATAGTGAGTTCCAGCATGGCTAGGGCCACATAAAGAGACCCTGTCTCAGTAAATAATTAAACTTGATGATGTAATCTCTTTTTTGGCTTCTCATAGACCTGTGTTGTATGGTGACATTAATTCATTTGGTTTGTAGTTCAAATCAAAGAACACATAAATTTAGGAAGAGCTGTAGGTCAGTGACCTACATTTACTGTTCAGAATCTAGTTATTAATATATTTCTATGACAGTCGCTGAATGTGAAAATAGAGTTCCAGGCCAACCTGTACTAACGAGTTGCACCCTGTCTCAAAAACCCCAAGATTGCTTACATAAGGGGCTGTGGAGCTGGCTCAGAGAGCGTGGTGCATGCCCCACAGCCATTACCTGAAGCTCCAGCCCCAGAGGATCGATCTGATGCCCTATTCCAGCCTCTGAGGTCACCTGCATCCAGATACACAAACCCACGACCAGACACAGAAGTACAGTTGATGGGAGGGGGAGGGATATGGGAGGTGGTGGCGGGGAAGACACAGAAATCTTAAGAAAGAAAGAAAGAAAGAAAGAAAGAAAAAAAGAAAGAACAGTTGAGTGCAAATACATCTTTTTTTCAAAGATTGTTTACTTTGGACAGTGATGGCACATATCTTTAATCCTAGTGGGGGACAATGGCAAGCAGGTCTCTGAGTTCAAGGCTAGCCTAATCCACAGAGCAAGTTCCAGGACAAGCAGGGCCATGCAGAGAAACCCTGTCTTGAACAAAAGATTGTTTACCTATCTCTAGGGGGAAAAATGGTTTTTAAGCCTGCTGAAGATAGAGTAGAAAATGGGTACAAGTTAAACATTCTGTAAAGTAATGCATTGATTATGTTACTTACATATTTACTTAGAAAACCGTAAGTTAGGCTGAGAAAAAATTGATAAACACTAGGCAAAGAGACTCACCATTTTAATGACGTACCTTCAGATGGTCCATGCAGAAGGCCTGGTTCTGAAGGTAGCATGCACACTTACCTGTGAACCTTATTTCTAAGACATCCAGATGTCTGGAGTTCCAGCTAGTGGATGCTTTAAGGGTTTCTAGTAGAGATCTGTGACCCTCTTACTTGGTATGAGGAGTTGCTGTCTGGCATGGTATAGGACATCAGATGAAAGTCATTTGCCCTCAAAATGGAGGTTGCAGCCAGATGTGACTAATGCCTGTAATCCCAGCATTCAGGAGGCAGAGGCAGAAGATCTTCAACTTGAGCTGCATAGTTTTCAGGCTAGGCTGAGAGTAAGACCCTGTTTGTAAAAACAAAAAGAATGTAGGTGCTCCCATACTGCTTGGCAATGCTGCCTTTAGGCCTCTTGGCTCCCTCTTCCAACTGTCTGGCACCCCAGGAGCCTTGGGTCTTTGGAAACTGTTTCTTCTACTTATTCCCAAGATAGTAACACATAGAAAAACCTTCCTAGCCCATTCATTAAATATAGGCCAGGGGACTGGAGAGATTGCTCAGTGATTGAGAGGCTGCTCTTCTAGAGGACACCAGTTCAATTTCCAGCAACCATGGGGAGACTCACAACTGTCTATAACTCCAGTTCTGAGGACACCAGGCATGCACGTGGTGAACAGACATACTCATGCACATAAAATAAAAAAGAAAGACTGCCGGGCGGTGGTGGCGCACACCTTTAATCCCAGCACTCGGGAGGCAGAGGCAGGCGGATCTCTGGGAGTTCGAGGCCAGCCTGGTCTAAAGAGTGAGTTTCAGGACAGGCTCCAAAGCTACAGAGAAACCCTGTCTCGAAAAACCAAAAAAAAAAAAAAAAAAAAAAAAAAAGAAAGACTAACTATAAGTTATCTCTGCAGCTGGGGTCTGGAATACCCTCACTTAATGTAAATTGGTGGGACTGGCAAAGCTTGGGATGTGCACCCCGCAAGCCAGGATAGGTCTACTTATTTGCAAAAGTATAACTGCTAAGATTCCCAGGATATAAAATGTTTCTCAGCTGATGCCAGCCTCTGGCAATCTGGATTGAAGTGTGTGTGTGTGTGTGTGTGTGTGTGTACACATGGGGCAGCAAACAGCCTATGACTGTTTCCCAAGCCAGAACTTTCAGGGCTCAGTCTTGAAACTGTTCCTATTGACTGTTGTGAACCTGCAGGCCAATACAGGGAGCAATCGGTACTCCCCAAAAGGCCAGTTGGCCAAGGTTTTAAAATCACAGGCATATGGCCCATGGTTGCTCACCTGCGCTTATAGTGCAGAAGCAGCTGGAGACCACAAGTAAACCACTGTGCATGGCTGTATGCCAAGGTAACAGTTGTTCTTGAGTCACAAGGGATACAAAAGGACCAGGGAGATGACAGTGGGTAATGTGCTTGCTGTGCAGGCAAGACAACCTCAGTCCACCTCTCCAGCTGGGCAGAAAATTGGGGCACGGTGATGTGCATCTGTAACCCCAGCACCGAGGGGCAGAGACAAGTGGATCTCAGGAGGTCTCTGGCCAGCCATTCTAGGTGAAACAGATCTAGGTTCTGCACACACACACACACACAAACACACACAGACACACAAACACACAGACATACACATGCGAGGTGTGGAGGTTAAAACCGCACATAGGAAGATGCTAATAATGGCCTGGAATTTCTAACTAGCTTGGTTACACAGCCTTCAGAAGAGGCCTCATGGGAGGGTGTGGGGTCAGTTCCTAAGGATGTTTTTCTTGCTGTTCAAAGTGAAAAAGATGAAAGAGGGGCTCAGGGTGCCTGGTGGGGAGCGCAGGCCGTATGAGACTGAGTCACAGAAAGGCGGAGTTCTACTCTGTGGTCCTGACTGATGACTGACTTTCTGAACTTGGTCACAGCACTGTCTGTTCTGAGGCCGAGAGTGGCCTGCTGTTAGCAGAGAAAGAGGTGGCACCCAAGTTGTCACTGGATTGCCCCCAGTGCACCCCCTTGCTTCACGGGCACCAGCAGCAGCTCAGTAGCCCTGGGCCTCCTGTTCCTTCTTCCTTGCTTCCCACATTGTTAATACCGGCAAGGGGACTTTGAAAAGCTCTGAGTCTGGCTGGGGAGATGGGTCTGTTTACAAAGGCTTGCTCTGTGTGCACTAGGATCTGAGTTTGAGTCCACATAAGAGAAGCCAGGCTTGGTGATGCGCACCTGTGATCCCAATACCAGCGAGGCATAGGCAGGATGATCCCTGGAGTTTGCTGGCCAGCCAGCCTAGCCTACTCGGGTAAACTATGAGGAACTCCATTTCAAAAGAAAGAAAAACATAGTGAAGGGTGTCTCTTGAGGAATGTCCTCTCCATGCATAGGCACACACATGTACATGTCCCCGCACATGCTTATGCACATACGTGCACGTGCACCAACCCCCAACCCCCCACCCCCACCCCACAAAACTCTGAGACAGATGCACTGACCTTTACCCAATGCTCTCATTAGTTCTCATGGGCACTAGAAAAAACCAAAAATTTGTGGGCTGCCAGTTCCCACAGGAACCAACCACAGTCCAACGACACTACAGCAACCTTCTCATTTACTTACCTACTTCCTGTTTGGGAGTGGCCCAGGGTGTCCTGTGTAAGGAAACCAGCCGGCCTCACCACCTGCAGATGTGACCAACAAGTGGATGGCCGCTCTATGGGCCCTGCTTGGCATGCCTGGATTCTCAGCAGTAACAATTCACGTGTCTGTCAATTGACAGTCAGACTGGCCCCGTGAGTGAGCTATACCATATCTGGGTATCGTATCAAAACAGGAAAACAAATAAAGTCATGTTTGCCAGGAAACCAATGGGAGGGTCAAGAACACAGAGAGAAAATATGTGATTCCTAACCCAAGAACAAGGCAGATTGGTAGCAGAAGTCGGATGCCAGCGTAGTCCAAGCCATGGTTCCTGGACTACACTGGTTAAACACAGCACAGGTATTTCTAGCAGAACCGTGCTTTGTTCCTAACAGCACCAGGACATGTGTAGAATTCACGTTTTCTAAGAGGACCTTAAACATGGTAAGAGGCTATAAAGTCAAGAACATTTTTCAAAGTGACCTAAGCCATCAGCCCGTCAATGGAGAGCCAAAGCGTTCCTTTTAGGCTCTTCTTGACCAAAGTGGGAGGGGATCCTCCCGCTGGTGTGAAGCCGGCTGGGGAAAAAAAAAAAAAAAAGTGGTTACATAAATAAAGCGTCTCAGGATCATCTGGCTGCAGAACAGTTCCTTCC